GTTGCAGCCATCATTGTTGTTTGGCGGGCTGGGCTAGATTCGAACCCGCCAGCTCAGGTGTATGTGACTGGCGCTAGTCGCTTGAGCCACAGGCAGCGAGCCCAAGACATATCTTAACCCGTTGTTTTTCTTTGTTTTTTAGCTCTTGCCCTGAGTAGAGTGCCATGGCATCATAATGTTAATCTCTTGGGCTCAAGTGATTGTCTTGCCTCAGCCTCCCAAGTAGCTGGTACTACAAGTGCCCACTATGACGCTGGGCTGGTGTTTTTGTATTTATAGTAGATATGGGAGTCTCAGTCTTGCTGAGGACGATTACAAACTCCTGAGCTCAAGCAATCCACCTGTTCATACTCCCAGAATGCTAGGATTACTCACATGAACCACTGCACGAGACCAAAATATTGTTGATAAGTAATTTTACCCAGAAGTAATCTCATGTCACTGTTAAGTATTCCTGTGTGACAATCAAGAGAGCTTTTACAACATCCCACATTACCCTGTATTTGAAAAATTGCCATAGGTATTGCAAGTGCAGACACATGATACCTCGTGATTATTGAATAACATTTGGGTATGAAAACCCAAGTTAACTCATGACCAATCAACAGTGTGTTCAGCACATTTTTGTGTAAAGCAGAGAAAAACAGTACACGTTTACTTACAAGAGGTGGGGGCTTGGCACCTGTGGCTCAAGTGGCTAAGGCACCAGGCATATACACCTAAGGTGGCAGGTTCGAATCCAGCCTAGGACTGCCAAAACAACAATGATGGCTGCAACCAAAAAATAGCTGGGCATTGTGGCGGGTGCCGGTGGTCCCAGCTACTTGGGAGGCTGAGGCAGGAGACTCACCTGAGCCCAGGAGTTGGAGGTTGCTGTGGGCTGTGATGCCCTGGCACTCTACCCAGGGGGATAGCTTGAGGCTCTGTCTCAAAAAAAAAAAAAAAAAAGCAAGAGGGGGAAATACATCCTTTTGAAAGTTGTCTTGAGACACAGGAGATATATAAGCGTGAAGGCCTGGGCTCTCCCTGCTCTGCTCACCCAGGACCTCTCTGGCCTCATCTACTGGTGTCCTGCTCACTGACTCTGTTCTAGCCACCTGGCCCTTTTTCTTTTCCCCACACTGCTCCTGCCTTGGGGACATAATGGTGGATGTCTGTCTTTCTAGAACTCTCCTGCCAGTTGGCTGCAGGTAACACGCACCCTTCCTACTTACCTGTTTGTTCTGATATCACCTTCTCACAGAGGACTTCTGTCCCCACCAGGTAATATTTCAGCCACCTCTTCACCCCCACCAGGCCCCTCATAGTCCATGTTGGTTGAGCTATATGTTTCTTTTGGGTCCTTCGCCATTAGTTGTGAGGATGCTGGTGACAAGTCTCCAAGAGTAAAGCAGAGACAGTGGTGGAAGTGGTCCTGGCCTTGCCCCTCTGAGTGGAGCTCAGGCCTGGTATCACATAGAATGTGGAGGCTTTTTTCAAATACATCTCTTCTGTCTCCTTCCCATTCATACTGTCAGGTGGGGGCCCACCTTCAGTAATGGTCCCAGTGACCAGGTGTGTCCATTCTGTGTCCCCCATTGCTGAGGGCTGAGGTCAGTTTGTGATCACAGAGGGGTGAAGGGCTGTATCTGCCTCAGGTATGGGGCTGTGTCCTGGAGGGAAACTCAGCGCAGCCCAGCTCTCCTCTGCTGCCCTGTGTGTGGGATGTCACCATGAGGGAGGCAGGCTCTGGTGAGGGGGTCAGAGAATCACCAGTTTGTCTTTCTGTAGCAGCATCTTGTCCCTGCATCCCTCTCGGTGCAGTGGGCAGCAGAGGACCTGCCTTTCCGCAGGGCGAGGCTTTCCCTGTGTGAGTGGTTGTATCACAGGGAGGGATTGTTTTGATTCCAGACAATAAGCAGAGTATTTTTCTTATTCAGGATTGACTTCTAAAGAATCCAGTTATACAAGAAGAAGCCCAGAAGAAGATTCAGAAATGGCTGTGCCTCAGGTATAGTGATGTTCTTGGTGGGTTGTCTGAGTCCCCCTCCTTTCTGAAATGCTGAACACTAGACTTGCTGGTCTCTGACTCTGCACCCTGATGTGTTTGCTGCAACTAAACCCTGCCTTCCCTCAGTCCCTCTCCCCATGACCCAGTGACTTAAGCTTATGCAGAGGCTCCATGGGGCAGGGCCCTGGGAAGGACATCAGTTAGAGAGGGGATGTGGCCCCTGTGGTGTCAGTGCTGTTGGGTAGTAGGGACTTTTTAGGAGCCACATCTGGGTGCACTGTCACTCTCTGTGGAGCAGGGTTACAGAAGCTGGGTCTAGAGAATCTACCCAGAGCAGGTGAGATTTTTTCCCTCATTAAATAAAACTTGCTCCTGTGTTCTTTTTGTACTTCAAACTTTTGAAACTGTGAGGAAAATGACCAACCTTTGTGTTAATATTTTTCAATTTGTTGTAAGTGTTCATAATTTTCTTTATTTTGTGGAAGTGTATATATAAAATGGATTTTCTTTCTTTTTTTTTTTTTTTTTTTTGCAGTTTTTCTTTGGCCGGGCTGGGTTTAAACCCACCACCTCTGGCACATGGGGCCGGCGCCCCACTCCTTTGAGCCACAGGCACCGCCCTATAAAATGGATTTTTTTTCTTTCTTTCTTTTTTTTTTTTTTTGTAGAGACAGAGTCTCACTTTATCGCCCTCGGTACAGTGCTATGACATCACAGCTCACAGCAATCTCCAACTCCTGGGCTTAGGCGATTCTCTTGACTCAGCCTCCTGAGTAGCTGGGACTACAGGCACCCACCACAACCCCTGGCTATTCTTTGTTGCAGTTTGGCCGGGGCCGGGTTTGAACCCACCACCCTTGGTATATGGGGCCGCCGCCCTACTCACTGAGCTACAGTTGCCACCCTATGAAATGGATTTTCATACTTTGCTCCATTTTCTTTTCAGGTATTTTAGGATCTATTTTATATCCTTTGGTTTATATTCTTTATACATAACTTGGTGTCTTTTTATAAATTATGCATTTTAGAAATGTGAAACAGAAATCTGTTTTTTTCTAATGCCACCTGGTTTTTCTTGTGCCCTTGTTTCATTTATTTTCTTTGCAGGTCCTTGCCTGATTACAAAATACTATGTTTCATTTAGTCTACAGTTTTTTCTGTAACATTTTGGTTATGTTTCTGTTTAATTTGAATTATTATGTAGATCTTATTTTGGGTATTTAATGTCCTAAGGGCTTCATGTTTAGTTTGGTAAATCCCTCCATTTTCTTCTTTTCACAATTACGTTTGTTCTCCTTTGACGTGACAGAGATTCATTGACACCCAAGTATTTTCCTTGTCTTTGAATGGCTCTGGACTTCTCTTTCTTTTGAGACAGAGTCTCAAGCTATTGCCCTGGATAGAGTGCTGTGGCATCACAGCTCACAGCAACTCCAAGGCTCTGGACTTCTCTTTCTTTTGAGACAGAGCCTCAAGCTGTTGCCCTGGATAGAGTGCCGTGGCATCAGACCTCACCTCCAACTCCGGGGCTCTAGTGATTCTCTTGCCTCTACCTCTCAAGTAGCTGGGACTACAGGCACTCGCCACAATGCCCGGCTTTTTTTTGGTTGCAGCTGTCATTGTTGTTTGGCGGGCCAGGCTGGATTCGAACCACCAGCTCAGGTGTATGTGGCTGGTGCCTTAGCCGCTTGAGCCACAGGCACCGAGCCGGCTCAGGACTTCTCATCACAGAGGTCTTTACATGTCCACATGTTCTTTTTATTTATTTATTTTTTTAATGAAATCATAGCAGTGTACATTAATACTATCGTGGGGTACAGTGTACTGTTTCTGTATACAATTTGAAATACTTTCATCCAGCTGGTTAACATAGCCTTCATGTCTTTTTCTTAGTTTTGTGTTAAGACATTTATGTTCTACAATTAGAGATGTCCACATGTTCTGATGAGGATTGGGTTTGCTTGTTCTTGATCATGTTTTTGATATGTCCTTTAGTAAAGTTTGTTTCTTTGCGTCTTCACAGTTCAGCAGTGTTAGGTGTATTCCCATTATTGTGTTACATGTTCCTCAAAGTTTTTCACACTGGGAAACTATATGCTGAGGAATACCAATTCCCCCTCTGACTTTTCATTTCTCTGCCGTCTTTCATGGTGTCCTTTAAGAAGTTAACAAC